ACACACACACACACACACACACACACACACCCCCCACACACACACGCACCCGCACACATGCATACCGGGTGTCAAAAAAAGAGGACCCACCAAAGGGCATCTTTGGATCAATTTCAACAAAACTTCTAAAAAAACAAAATTCTACCACTACCAGTGGAACATTACATTTGCCAACATGAAAAAAATAAATTTAAAAAATCAACCGACATGTTAAAAAAATATCAAGTTTTAAAAATCTAAACCAAAATTAAATTGAACGCAAAACTTTGCAGGTGCATGTCGTATTCTATTGTGACTGACGAAGGGACGTAAATAATGTACAACTGAAGACTTTGGCGACGGCTATTTCCCTTACTTTTCCTATCAATTTAAATGTATTATTATTTTTTTATATTTGTGTCATGACGCGATAGAATCAGGCGCTCGTCGTTTTTCTTATTTTAGGCATTTATTATATTTATTATGGAGTTATAAGTTTCATCTTAAAGGTAAAGCCTGTTGATTTATCTTGCATTTAGCTGAAAAAAATACCCATCTATTTAGAATGGAAGTCAAGACATATGCGATTGAAGGAGTTGGGGGTCACCTGGAGTCAGTGGTAAAATGGTAAAATTAGTGAGCAAATCGCCGTCAAAGTTTTTTTTGTTTTTTTGGTAAGTGTTTTACGGCTCTCGCAACTGCATAAGACCACATGAGCGCATGGGACATATTAAACATTTTCAGTTGGTAGGAAATTTTATATAACAAAGCCCACTCTTGTCGTTTTTGGACCACAAAGGAATCTTTTACGTGCGCAACTTGCACACGGGACTTCTGAGATTTTTTGCTCTTGTTGGAGAAGGCTAGGTGTAGATTTTACCTACAATAAGATCAAGGGTGTGACTGAAAGACAGCAGTAAAAAAGAGCCAAAGAGTAGCACTAGAAATGACTGCAGAAAGAGTCAGGATCAGCTCAGAGGAGGAGAAAAGGAGGTGAGGGGTTGATGGCAGAAAGTGGAGACGAAAGCAGACGACAGAACATTGTAAGAGAGCAAGA